CTTTTTTCTCTAGGACAGATTCCTTACTATTAGGCTTTACCCACAGTTCTTCCAGTCAGGGCCAGACATAGTGAACTCCTAGCTGGACACGGATTGGTGTCACACTAAAACTCCATCACACTGGTAAATAATAACCAGACAGCATTCTTGTCATCATTCATTGACCATAGGGTTTCAAAGAACAGCAAAAGTAGGTGTCTTGTCTTTTCCTAGTTGAGGGGGTTGGGATAGTCGTGTTTAATATCATTGAGTTCTAACAATGTCACGACTGGACCTGAAATATTTCTTTTGAGCATATGGAAATAGGACTGCATTTATCCTTCAGATATAAAGCCATAGCTATTTATATTCTTGTGTTCCAAATATTGCAGAAGCGGGAATGTTTGCTTTGTATCTAAATACAGAATTAAGAAAAAGAGAAAGATTATGTGGTCAAGTAAACTGATTATGCCTAATTTATCTTTTCGGTTCAGTATTTTGTAATGTTTCTGTTTCTAGATTCCTTCTCTCAGTCCTGTGTAGGTCATTCAGCAGCCAATTTTAGAAGAGCTTGTGTCATTTAAGAGAAAGAACTTTAAACTATATTCAAAGAGGACTACGAAAAGCAAAGATACCACCGGCAAAGTGATATTTAAAATTTTCCAGTTACATGAGTTATTGGTAAATCTACACGGGCTGTGCCACGAGCAAAACAATGTGCCAGGTGTACTCTGAGCTTTTAATTAAGAGAACTTTTACCTTTTGGACAGATTTTAATAGGGTATTTTGCTGTTTGTAAGCCATTGAAACAACGGTTTAAGCCATTCGTGGGTGAAAAGCCCTTAATTATGTAGAATATAGATCATGAGGGAAGCAAAACTGAAAAACACCCCCAAATCCTAGAGACTCATGTCAATTTGGAAAATTTCTAGTCATGCCCCAATGTCACCTCAAGCCCCTGGAACTAATGGATTCTGTGAATGGTTTAAGTGATTTGGTAAATAAAAGCCAGATTTGGGGGACCGAAGAAAATGCTGAGTAAAGAGCAACATTCTCAGAGAAATCAGCTGTAGTGGTGAGTTGGAGGCCAGGTGAGTACTTGTGAGGCAGCGAGCTGAAAACGTGAATCGCAAATCATTCCATGGATAATGGCGGCCATGAGCCGTTGTCACTTTTCACTCTAGATCCATGAAATTGAATGCACAGCCCTTCTAATAGAAACTTAATGTACTTTTCTCTAAATCAGATTTTGCTCACCTGCCTGTGTCTGTATCACCCCCCCTCGCCCTGCCTCTTCCTCATAGCTATACGCCCCAGCAGCCAAGTGGCCCAAGGGACCTGACCTTGGCCCCAGGGGATTGAGCCAGGTGTGGCAGGGAGCTTAGGCAAAAATGGCCTCTCCGAGGGCTTCCCTGGTGGCGCAGTGGTTGAGAGTCCGCTTGCCGATGCAGAGGACGCGGGTTCGTGCCCCGGTCCGGGAGGATCCCACGTGCCGCGGAGCGGCTGGGTCCGTGAGCCATGGCCGCTGAGCCTGCGCGTCCGGAGCCTGTGCTCCGCAGCGGGAGAGGCCACAGCGGTGAGAGGCCCGCGTACCACACACAAAAAAAGGCCCCTCCGAGAGAATGCTGAGCATTAGGTTGTGTTAAGCAAACAAATAAATTAATTAAAACGCCCCCTCCAATAACAGCATGACTTACTGGTAAATAAGACTTGAGGAGTAGTTTAAATTTTTTAATAGTTTTTTTGTTTCTTTGTTTTTGAGAGTAGAGCTGGGGACAATATGGCAGCCAAGGGGCAATTAGCCTTATTCAACACACAATGAAATTTCTGCTAAATTCTACTCTTACAACCCTCTTTTTCCCCTAGGCAACCCCCTCAGCTCACCAAAACACCATCCTGCACATCCGCTCTCCTCAATGGTCTCTTTGTCCACTTTCCTCTCTAACTCATTTATATAGATTTAAAAATAAATTTATTTTTTCCCATACTTCAAACAACATTATAAAGATTTGGTTCCCATATAAGCATGTATCATTCTTTCTTAGAGAGGAAAAGAGGACCAAAGGAGCAGAAAACCTCTACTTTGATAATTTTTCACTGTTACTTAGCCTTTTCCCCTTTTGACTTAAAACTAGCTTGAATTTTTTCCACTACTTACAATCCAAGCTTTTGATTCAGCTTCCATTGGCTGGGTCTACAGAGTCAAACTCTAGCAGAGAGCTTGATTGTTAACTCATGACTTTGAACCCCTGAGTGATGCCGCAGCTCACAGAATTTTTTAAAGCAGTGACTGCACATCCCTAAGTTATTGAAAATGACTGAGATATTATTGGATACCAGAGAATTATTTTCCCTAAGACATTTAGTGTATTTTGTAAGAAATAGCAAGATATAAATGACATTATCCACCACCCACCTATTTTAAGGCATCTAAGGAGCAGCTTAGACCCGGAAGTACAGTCTGGGATTGCAAGGACATGCAAACAAGTGGTGTTAACTGAGATAAAATGCTGATGTCAAGGGGTGGTGGTGTGATGAATTGGAAGATTGGGATTGACATATTTACACTAATATGTATAAAATGGATAACTAATAAGAGCTTGCTGTATAAAAAAATAAATAAAATTCAAAATAAAACCCCAAAACAAAAAAGTCTGTAGCTTGAGTTAGAGTGTGTTAAATCTCTGGAAAATAATATATGTATATAATATAAATATATGTTTATATAATATATTAAATAAATTATATATAAATTAGGTAATTTATATATATACATATGTATACACATATGAACACATATGCTAAAAGTAACTTGGCAGTACAAAAGATGAGAGATGTATGAAGAAAATATGAAGAATATTCTTATAGAAAATATTTATTTGAATTTAATGTCCTGGCCTAAATTCTACCCAGAGTAGAGAGTTTGGGGGGAAAAAATTCAAGAGTTTAATCACCTTATTAACATCTTTAAAGACCAACAGTTATTTAACACTTCAGATATGAAGACCCTTCCCTCCCTTGGCTCAGTTAGTTGGTTAATTCTTTAGTCATTTACAAGATACAAAATAGGCCAAACGTACCTGGCTACTGATGGGCTTACCCAGCTCAAGGTGAAACTGAAGCACCAATTCAGAAACTCTTTTGTCAGGCTCTGCTTGGCTTCTGACTTGCCCTTGGTGCCCTCGTCTATGAGGAGTAGATCCCTGTGTCGCTCAGCCGAAACTGACATCCGCAGACTCCAGTCATATCACTGGTCAATTGGAGGGAAAGAACCTGAGGACAAAATGGTTCCGTAGGAACATGTTTGCTCAGTGTCATAACCAAAAATCTTTTCTGACATATTTCCATGTTTTTGACCTATTTCTGGCATTGGGATCTCTGGCCCTCATTAGATTTCATTTTGGCAATTGTCTCTAGTCTCTGAATGTTCTATATTTGTCTCACTCTTGGAGTCAGATATTATGAAAATATTGTTATTTTAAATATGTACTGGTTCACATATAATGTTTATTTGTAAATACTATAGAAGTAGAGAAGGAAATTGAAGGTGATACCATGTACCTTTTATTATACAAAAAATATAGAGTGAAAATTGAAAACAGAGTTGGTTCGTGAAGGTGCCATTAAAGAAGAGCTATGTTCATGCGTGTTTTCACTTAAAATAGGCTCAATGACTCACAGTGTTTGTGTCTTACATTTAAATTGAGATTGACTTGAATATACTTAAAAAAGAATTTGGAATCACTGTTACAAATTTCTAGTAAGTCATTTATTATTCTGATGTAAATGATATCAATAACATTTCATGGTTTACTCCAGAAAATGTTCCTGAGAAAAAGTTTAATATTAATAAAGTGATTAACTTATTTTTGCAGTGAGTGGGCTTAGACAGCTATTCTATTATCATATTTGTTGCACTCTAGGTACTAATGTTTGTGGGAGGTTGTGTTTCAAATTGTTATTAATGATGCTCATTAATTTATACCAAATTATTCATCTTTGGGCTTGCTGAAGTAGCCAAGTATTTTTTCTTTTCCTTTTCTTTTCCCCTGGAAAATTCATGTAGAAAAACATCAAAGCAAAATTAAGTTGCCATAAAGTAATAAAACAGTCTTTCATGCTGCTTGATCATTGCAGTGAAATCATAGGGGCAAGAAATTGAAGTAGGAGTCTAGACATAGCTTTTATTACCAAGGAAAATGAGCAAAATTCAAGGTTTTTACGTTGACATGGTTAAAACATAGAGGAGCCCATGGGGAAAATTGTTTTTGTAGAATTGCATGACTTTGACACTTCCACTGAAAAAGAGCAGAAAGGAGGGCATTTATGACTTGTATTTACTGAGTGCTCAGTAAGTAAACAATTGATTGATTGGTTAGTTGGTGGAAACTTTATGCAATGATTACACTTTGATTTTTCTAACCTTGTACATACACCTATTTTTTAAAAGTATCAATATGAGTGTTCGGAAATAAGTCATTATTGTTGGTCTTTACTTTTACACACTTCAAAAACCCACTAAATAATATTTTACAAAATAATGAAGCACTCTGGTTGAGGTTACCAAGGTCATGAAGCATGACAAACTCTAGCACGTGAAGGACTGTATTGTCAGGAAATCAACTCAAGTTATCTATATAAAATTCTCATCGCAAACAGAAGTCAACTCCTGCAGCCACCGTCCCCTAATCGAGAGAGCATCTCCTAGCTGTATGGAAGAAAGACCCTCTTGGTGTGGGACAGAAGGAGACATCAAATCTACTTCACCTTCTGAGAAAAAATTTTGAAATCAGTTATTATAATTGTTTTTCTAGTCTGTGGTAAGATAACATACTACAAAGCAAATGCCCCTCTAAACATGCCTTCATGCTTGAGGGATTGAACCTTGGTTCAGAATGGGGAGAGAATTTGCGGCCTATTTCCCTTGGAACCAGTAGTTTAACATAGCAGACTCTATTATGGAAGCCATTCCAAAAGGAAACAATAGAATGACTGTTTTTTGCCCTGTTGAATCTTTTCAGAATTGCAACTTCCGGTGAGCCCCTCAGTGTGTCTGGATCAGAGCATACAATTAAAGCTGAGTAATTCAAGTCACCTTTTAAAAACAGTGAAGTCATATATGTGGAAACCAGGGGACTGGAGACGTGAACAGCTGTAAGCTAATCATCTTGAATTGTTATGTCAAGCATGCATTTTAAGAGATAGCTAATAAGAGAAAAGCACCAAACACATCTGGGGGTTTTACATGTTTGAATTATTAGGTTCTGTTATACAAATTTTAGGCTATCTCTTCTTAATAAATAATGCCACCATCGATTTTCTGCTACACTAATTCAAATCTCTCTTGCCATAGAATAAACATTTGGGTAAATAGGACTCTTATCCAGGAAGTTACATTAATGGAAATTGAATTTAAAACCTTGGCCATGTGAAACTAAAATTTTAACTTCCATTTTATACTCAAATAACATGGCTTGGTCTACGAGTCTGGCTGAATGATTTTTTTCTATTATTATTTTTTTATGGCTCTGAGAAAGCAACTGTAGGGTACCAAGTTATTCAAGTTACCTTCAGGGAAAGGATTTTGTCATGTAGGTAAATTATAGTGAAAAATTAAGAGATTTTAATTATCTATCCAACACACAAAATAGTTTGCCCCATGTAATTTTATAATTATTAGGTAGTATTCCACAGTTAATAGTTTTTATTGAAGAATCATATGCATTTCTGCTTACCTAGACTTCAAAAGATGAAACAGCACACTCTTTTCATTGATCAAACTTAGATATTTGAAATATAGAAATATGATGCAGAAAAGAAAATAGTTATACATTTTGGTATCATTTATAATGAAATTATGTTTGTTTTATCACAAAATATTTAACTAGTGTTATTTTTCCTTTTTTAGACTGAAGTGTTTCCTAATACTTCATCCCTTAAATTAACCCTTAATTATCTGTGGTGCAGGTTATTAGGTAGAATCAAATTAGTGGGGAAAGTATTTTGGCATATTTTTGGTGACCTGCCTGTCCACTATTGAGAAACAGTATCTTTTCTTGTGGAGGATAAGATAGAGCAAAGGTAGGAAAGGGCAGAACCGGAAAATTTCAGGGGTATCCTAAACTTTTATATGTATCACTTTTGTTGGGATGGTACCAGATGTGACTAATTTAAATTTTTTAGATCTTTAAGCCTCATTTTAGGTACAATTTTAGACATCGTTTAAGGCAACCCATACACTGAAAGCTGGGGTCCAGTGAAAGAGAGATGGGGTGTACAAAGCTCTGAGGCAATTTATAAATTACATACCCCAAATTATGGAGCTTTAATTATATTTTTAATTTTTTAGGAATCAAACCACAGTCCTAGCTCCACAAGAAACACTCTTGAGAGCCAAAGATTTATCCGTAATTCTTAAAGCGTATGTGCTGGTGACATCCTTAACTCCTCTGCGTGCATTCATTCATTCGACTGGCACGGTTTGGAATCCACCAAAGAAAAAACGCTTCACTGTCAAGGTAAAATTTCCATTGTTGCAGTTATTTCCCACAAAGTATACTGGAGATAAGTAAAGTGAGTTGGGCTGCCTTTCTCCGACCTTTATGATTATCAAATCCCAAGGAGCAAAGATTGTATCGTTTTATTGCTGCAAGCAGAGATTTTCATTTAATAGGTGCAGGTTCAAAAATGAACTGGAAACAGCTTAATTCACTAGGGATCACAAAGGCTACATCTTCTTTTTCTCTCAATTCATCTTTTTAGTTCAGTTCTTTGACCCATTGTAGAACTAGTTCTCAGCTGTGGTCTGTTTTTCTTGACTTTCCACTCATTCAAGAAAAATGTAGTCAGTGCAACAGAGGAAAATATAATTTTGCCCTTATGCTTTTTGCTTCATTTTTAGGAAGCATAATGCCTCTTTCATTTCACCATTCAATATGGAATATTTGCTGAGTAAAAAACAACGCTCTCAAGGGTGCCTGACATAGTAGCCATGACATAAAGCATGATGAGAAAGCTTTCAAGGTAGAACTTAATAATAACCTCCAAAAAGTTTAGTTATAAGAGGTAATTCAGGTTAGCTCATTCGAAAATAAGGTCTAGTGAGAATATACATGATACATTTTAAGGAGTTTCTGATTTTACAGAAATAATTTTTCAGAGTGTAGTTAAGGGGAAATGCACACATGCATTCTTTCAGTTTCTTCCCACTTCCTCTTATCTGTTTTCTGAACAATTATTTCTGTAAGATCAAAGATGCCTTCAAAGAACAAATACTACCCGATCCCTCTTATAGAAGGAATCTAAACTAGTCAAACTCACAGAAGCGGAGAATAGAAAGGTAGTTACCAGGGGCTGGGGAAAGAGGGAAATAGGGAGGTGTTAGTCTAAGGGTCTAAAGTTTCACTTATGCTAGATGAATAAGTCCTGGAGATCGACTTACAGTATAGCGCCTATAGTTAATAATACTGAGATTTGCTAAGAGGATAGATTTTATGTTCTTAGCACTAAATAAATAAATAAATAGGGTGGGTGGAAACTTTTGAAGGGGATAGATACGTTTATGACTTGATTGTAGTGATGGTTTCATGGGCGTATACTTATCTCTAAACTCATCAAATTGTATGCATTAAATATGTACAGGTTTTTGTATTTTAATCATAAAAAAAGGCACAAGTGCCTTTTATAGTTTTGAGAGATTTAAAAGTGACTGTACTTGATACTTTTCAGAATTTTTCTAACATAAACTGCACTTTAAGTTTTGGAAAATCTTCCAACAGTGAAAAATTTTTAAATGGTATGTTTAAAAATTGTCAGTTAAAAAACAGATAAGCATGACAAAAGATGCAGATGTTACATTACTTAGTAAAGTAGGTAACTGATATTTTAAGGAAATGGTGTTGATGACTTAGGTCTTAAGGGTGGTTTATTTTAAAGACAATCATCTCATCTCAATTATATCAGTATTAAGTGGTTTTTGATCAGGAAAAAGTGGAATCTAATTTGATTTGTCTTTCATGTTATCTCCCACAAGTCTTCACAGTGGCTGTTTATATTTCCCTAAGAACCTTTAATTATTCCCCAGTTGCCTTTTTCTGTTAAGCTGAATTGTATGCAGTTGCTGACAATTGGCCAGTTTTGACCTACAAAAAATTACAGTTTCATATGATTCAACCAAATAATTAGAAATCAGATATAGAGAGATACAAGAATCATAATCCTCTATTCATGTCACATTCATGTATTCGACAAATGTTTGTTGAGCAGAGATCCAAATCCCTGTCCTCGTAGAACTTGCAACATCTGTGTGTGCAAGCCTCCTCTCCTATTTTATCTTTTTTATTTAATACATTTTATCGCCGTTTCCCACTTAATTATCCTTCCTCTCAAAGGCCATCATTATAATGATTTAATGTGTGTGTTTTTTGTGCATATTCTTGTAAAATAAGCATTTTTATTTTGTTATGCATGCAAGTATCTTTAGCATATAAACTGTATTATATAGTTTTTCCTTCTTCTTTTACTATATATATATATATATATATATATATATATATATATATATATATATTTTGGGCCGTGCGGCATGTGGGATCTTAGTTCCCCGACCAGGGATCAAACCCATGCCCTGCCCCCTGCAGTGGAAGCGTGGAGCCTTAACAACTGGACCGCCAAGAAAGTCCCTCTGACTATTTTTTAAAATGCAGCACTACATATTTTTAGGAAGAAACCTTCCACGTTGCTATGTGTATATCTTCTGTTACTTTTTCACTGATTTGCAGTATTAGTGATGTGTTTTCCCTTATAGTTTACCTCCCCACTGCTCCAGTGATAGAGATCTGGATTGCTCCAGCTCTTGGCTAAAGCAAACAGTACTTCAAATGCACAAATCTTTGTATCTGACTCTTTATGAACCTGCATATGATTTTCTGAAGAGTGTATACCCAGGACTGGGATGGCTGGGGCATAAGATATAGGTTCATTTGATAGAATTAAATAATGCCAGCTCGCCCTCCAAAATGCCTGTATCAATTTCTGTACCCCCACATAGGCCAACATTTGACCGTTTCCAGCTGTGACAGGTGAAAAGTGTTATCTTGATCTTGCAAATAGCTCAATTTGCCCTCTCTCTGTTAACTTTATCACAGTGTTATTTTTTGATTAGAAATCTTCAATTCATTAATCAAATTAATTTTTCCATATGCTTCCTCTTTGGGGATTTAGTTTCAGAAATCCTTTCTTATCTCTAAGTCACAAAGGTGTGCTTCTCCATTTTTTTCTATTACCTTTATAATTTTCCCTGGACATGTAAATATTTAATTCAACTAGAGATCACCTCTGATCCAGTTTTCTTCTTTTTTCCTAAATATTCCATTCTCACGGGCTAAAAACTCATCATTTCCTATGAATCTGACATCACTTTTGTTGTATAACTTTCCATATGTATATGGAGCCGCCTCTGATGTCTCTGTTCGGTTCCAGTTGGCCCACTCTTTTTTAATATTTTGGCAGTATAAGTATGTCTTCATGCCTGACACGGGAGGTACCTCTTGTCTACTTCTTCTTTTCAAGATTGTTAACTATGTGGTGGGCATTTATTTCCTCATAAACATTTTAGAATATCAATTATACTTTTAAACTCCTACTGGATCCACCTCCTAGAGTAATGGAAATAAAAACAAAAATAAACAAATGGGACCTAATGAAACTTAAAAAGTTTTGCAAAGCAAAGAAAACTACAAACAAGACGAAAAGACAGCCCTCAGAATGGGAGAAAATATTTGCAAATGAATCAACGGACAAAGGATTAATCTCCAAAATATATGAACAGCTCATGCAGCTCAATGTTAAAAAAAACAAAAACCCAATCAAAAAATGGGCAGGAGACCTAAATAGACATTTCTCCAAAGAAGGCATACAGATGGCCAAGAGACACATGAAAAGCAGCTCAACATCACTAATTATTAGAGAAATGCAAATCAAAACCACAATGAGGTATCACCTCACACCAGTTAGAGTGGGCATCATCAGAAAATCTACAAACAACAAATGCTGGAGAGGGTGTGGAGAAAAGGGAGCCCTCTTGCACTGTTGGTGGGAATGTAAATTGATACAGCCACTTTGGAGAACAGTATGGAGGTTCCTTAAAAAACTAAACATAGGGGCTTCCCTGGTGGCGCAGTGGTTGAGAGTCCGCCTGCCGATGCAGGGGACATGGGTTCGTGCCCTGGACCAGGAGGATCCCACATGCCGCGGAGCGGCTGGGCCTGTGAGCCATGGCCGCTGGGCCTGCGCGTCCGGAGCCTGTGCTCCGCAACTGGAGAGGCCACAACAGTGAGAGGCCCGCGTACCGCCAAAAAAAAAAAAAAAAAACACTAAATATAGAATTACCATACGATCCAGCAATCCCACTACCAGGCATATACCCAGAGAAAACCATAATGCAAAAAGACACATGCACCCCAATGTTCATTGTAGCACTATTTACAATAGCCAGGTCATGGAAGCAACCTAAATGCCCATCGACAGACGAATGGATAAAGAAGATGTGGTACATATATGCAATGGAATATTACTCAGCCATAAAAAGGAATGAAATTGGGTCATCTGTAGAGACGTGGATGGATCTAGAGACTGTCATACAGAGTGAACTAAGTCATAAAGAGAAAAACAAATATTGTATATTAAAGCATATATGTGGAACCTAGAAAAATGGTACAGATGAACTGGTTTGCAGGGCAGAAATAGAGACACAGATGTAGAGAACAAACGTATGCACACCAAGGGGGGAAAGTGGTGGGGGTGGTGGTGGTGGTGGAATGAATTGGGAGATTGGGATTGATACATATACACTAATATGTATAAAATAGATAACTGATAAGAACGTGCTGTTTAAAAAAATAAATAAAATTCAAAAATTCAAAAAAAAATCCTACTGGAATTTCAATATAATATTGAATTTTTAGCTTAATTTTTGAAGAGTTGATTATTCATAATATTGTCTCTCCATTTATTCAGGTCATTTTATTTGTCCTTTATTAGAGTTTAATTTTTATTCCTCCACAGAGATCTTATATGGTTTTGCTTAAGTTTATTTCAAGATTCCTGGGAGTATTTTTTGATATTGTTATTTATTTATTTATTTGTTTTTTAACATCTTTATTAGAGTATAATTGCTTTACAGTGGTGTGTTAGTTTCTGCTGTATGACAAAGTGAATCAGCTATACATATACATATATCCCCATATCCCCTCCCTCTTGTGTCTCCCTCCCAACCTCCCTATCCCACCCCTGTAGCTGGTCACATAGCACCGAGCTGGTCTCCCTGTGCTATGCGGCTGCTTCCCACTAGCTATCTATTTTATGTTTGGTAGTATATGTATGTCCATGCCACTCTCTCACTTCGTCACAGCTTACCCTTCCCCTTCCCCATGTCCTCAAGTCCATTCTCTACTTCTGCATCTTTATTCCTGTCCTCCCCCTAGGTTCATCAGAACCATTTTCTTTTTTAGATTCCATA